TAGGTGGGTCCGCGCCTCGCCCCAAGCGAGGCCTGCGCTTGGAGGTAAACGATCCTCGGGTCAATTGAGTATTCCACTTGTTAAAATGGTGCGGTTTTTTCCCCCCAGTTTTCAGTTGCTCTTTTGCCTGACTGGAGTATTCTACTCTGAAATCTTTGCTTCATCAGCTATACAGTTACTCATTTTTTTAAAAAGTGCTTGTTAGATAAGCTAATAGGAGTTGAGCTGAGTATCTCTTGTTTACAAAGGCATAGTATTCAGACTTGACATTCCTGTAGCTCCATTTCATTTTTTTTGTTGTTTGGTACAGCTATGAGGGTTGTTACCAGTGGTCTGTCTCTACAGTGTGGATTCCTCTCTGTTCTGATTTTCCAGTTCCTCACTTTTAGCTGAAAGGATGGTACTCGCCTGCCTTGTCCCAGCAACAGAAGCCTGCTAGGACTGCGTAACCAGGCTCTCACTACTTACCGACCCCACTGACACACTACACCCGCAAACTTCTGGTTTGCCATCACTAACAGTTTCCAGTTTTCCCGATGAATTCCTGAGTGGTTGCCAAGGTGCACTACCTTAATTTGTAGCCACCATAGGACCTTCCCTATGATCCTCTCCAACATATACCTTGCAAAGATGAGCCTGTTAGAAAATACTGCTCTCTGGAAATAACACCTGCTTGGTAAGACATTTGATGGCACTTTCATGCTGGCTGCAATAATAAAAACAAACATGACTTGTTGCAAACAATTTATTAGGTAGTAATAAATAAGAATTTAGCAGAAAGAACTATACAGCAATAAGGCATATTAATACTATTATTAAATATGCAACTGACACACATTTTAACATTTTTTCCTCTAGTTTTCTAACAAAGTGCTATGTAGAGAAGTGTATTTCTGATACCAGTGCCAAGTGATAGCAAGGATGCACTATGAAGCACCTAACGGTGCCTTATTTACCTTAAATAAGATACAGCAATCCATGAAGATTTACTGTTACTTATGCTAGTGAAGTTTAAGTAGAAAAGTATAGCTTGCTAAGAAGATTATAAAATATAAGTCTCCTATTCACTTTTTTTAACTACTTACTACTTTAATTTCTTAAACTGCACTTACTAGTAGTAAGGTATGAGTGAAGTTACTACACAACAGCACAGTTCCTAACATTCATTTTAACTTTTGTTCAAAAACTTAGAGGCAAGTGCTAATTTTTATTTTTTTTTTAAACTTTTTTACAAAATATTGCACACTGTTTTAGCATGCAGTTTACACGGAAGAAATAGTCAAGTGCACTTAAAACCCTGAAATACAAACAGAAGTTTTAAAGATTTGTGTATTTTAACATGCAAGGATATGTTTCAGACTGCATAGGGTCACACCTTCCACTTGGGACCCAACTTGTTGAGACCCAATCCTGACTGCAAAGAACATGCAGAATGCTTACAAAATGTATCTGACTTCCTTGCATTAAATCTTCATTCCTGCATCCTGTACTGTTTGTAGCCTCAAGAAACTGAAGTAATGAGTAGGAAAATTAGTTTAACAGAAATAACTTAGTACCTCCTCTATGAGTTTTCGTTACTGCAGATGTGTTGCAATCCACGGTAAGATTTATTAAACTTTCTGAGGTCCTCTGAGTAAGATTCATTTGTAGATCTGTATCTCCTCCTCCTCCATATATACATTTTTATATTGCACAGCAAAAGTAAAGATCCTTTTTTTTTTTTTCTTAAAACAAGCATGCTTAACATTTAATATGGCTTCTGAATGATTTTAAAGTATTTCCCTTTTCACATCCTAACGCAGTATTTTAGAATAAATATGAATACAAAGTATGAGAAAATTAAGAGTAAAAATAAAGCCAGCTATAACGTCTGTCAGAAACCAAATAAAAACCAAGAGTTTATCAAAAGTAGTTGCTCAGTGGTCTAACTGGTCTTTTAAGCATACTTACCAACACTATCTTTATTAAAGTGTGTCTACAAAATATTGTAACATATATAACCTTGATGTTCCACAGAATGACATGAAAGGTAAATAGGTTAACTGAGACTTGCTTAATGGCACTGGCAGTCCCATGGACCTCTGGGAACAAAAACCTTACTTGATTCATGCTCGTCCAACTCGGTAAACCATTTACATTTCATTAGCTTTATTGGTTAAGCTCAAACCCTACAATAGCTTATATAAGAAACACAAAAATATATATAAAAATAATAGATATGTTGTATAGTTTTTTAAAAAAATAAACCATGCAGCTTCTGTACAAAGTTACAAAACTGTACAATGACTTTCCTATTGTGTAAAATTCATGTACATGGAAGTCTTCTGTTATGATGAGAAGTAAGTTGTTTCTTGCTTATCCATCAGATGCTATTTCATAACTATTATTCATGTCCATCATTCATTTCTTTCACTTGGCATTAACTGGCCATTTAATTTCATCAAAAGTTTTACAACAAGACCTGCCTATATAAAGGTATACAATTAAATTCTGTCAGCATTTCAGAACTATAACACAATCAAGTATATGACAAATGCAAGTAGATAAAAATAGTAAGTTAGAAGTTGCCTCATTTTAGAAATAAGGATAATAAAACTTAGATTCTTCTCAGCTATCAGAAAGTGTTTTTCAAAATATTCAATCATTTCCCGTATAACCACCTTAATATATAAGAATCAAAAGCAACTACTGTCAAAGTGTGCAAAGCTGTAATTTTGTCACAACACATGTTAACATGGCGTATTACCACTGATGTAGACTACGGGTGGAAAAAAAGCATTTTCCATCAGACATCCACAAACATTATCAAAAGTTGCTAGCAGTAATTGCAGTGAAGTTGCTTTATGATACTCTTCACAGATCCTCAGTTTTATCCAATCTCTAACTCTACTAGTTTTGATAGCAAAGTTACCACCTCTAACTCTGTGGTTCTCCTCATATTTGGAATTATCCCTAAGAGTCTGAGGGCTTGGGCACATGCAACAGTTTCAATTTAAAAAAAAAAGTTTACCCTAATGATTAGAGATGCATTTTATGTATATTGAACCCTACAGGCTTCACATGCTAGGAAAACAAGCAAACATTCTGAAATACTAAAAAGAAAGTTTTAAGATCATTCTTGTGGGGGCTTGGCTTGGGCTTCTTTTATACTGTACAAGGGTGGTCCATCTCAAGAGAGAAGAGGCATGTATCTAGTTTAGGAAAAAAATAATTGAACGGAAAGGATGAAAAATGACAATGCTTACCTGTTTGGTATGCACAATAAAGCTCATTTTGTTTTCCAGACTGTGGATTTGAAAACATGTATCTCCATCTCCCAACTGCCACATAAAGCAACCATATTTTAGGCTAAGGAGTAAAGCCTACAATGAAATGTGGGAAACTGTCACTCAGAAAATATTCTTCATACTTAGAAACTGAACTTTCCTTCATTCACTTAGACAGGATTCTGACTTAGAACAGTATGTTCCACAATTTAGTAGCTTATAAAGTAAAGTGGAAAAGTCCACGGCTTTTGATTAGTAGTGCCTTACAAAGATCTTAAAATCTTGGAAATCTCCACAGAGAAGTTTAGTTAAACAGTTGGTTGTGAAATGACTACTAGTACAAAGAATTTAAGAGAACAGAATTAAGCTTAACGGTTATCATTGGCAGTTAACTTAAACTGACCTTTGTTTCCATGTTGAGGAGGTGCAGGCCTTTTACATTTACTCCTACATACACTTTGATGACTTTATGGCTACTTGAACTTGCTTTGGTGAATATCTGTCCTGTGAAAAAAGCTGCTCCATAAGTAGGAATTTCCCAGCAATTCTGCAGGAACATGCGCTGAAGGTGATGCATCTCTTTACTTACACCTTCACTGGTGCTGAGATTCTAGAAATAAAGGAACAATGGCAATCAACAAGTCTTCCCAAATAGTTGTGGTTATTTGAAGAAAATCCACTATTTAGTGGAATTCCCACTAAACGAACATTCCCAAAGTGCTTTCTCAGCAACTGTCTTCCTACATCTAAATTAAACCCCAGAGCCACAGAAAGGCTCCAATGCCAAAAGAGACTGATGCAGAAAGCAGATACCTTATGAACCTCTATCCTGGTTTGGCTAAAACAGGACTATTTCTCCTTTCAGGAAGGTGGTTTTGGTTTTTTTTTGGTTTTTTTTTTTGTTTGTTTGTGTTTTTTTTTTTTTAATTTCAGCAAAGTTTCTTCTAAGTAACTGCACTTTCTCAAAGCACAACTACATGTTTTTTGGACAGTGTCTGCTTTTCAGACTTGATAATGCTTGATGTTTATAGTTGCTACTGAAGTATCAGTAGGATTGGTATGCAGAAAGGCCCATGTTTATACTTATCCCCATGAGAACCAAGGCCACTGCTGGCCGCCTTTTAAGTGAGTAAAAATTCATAAAAGGGTTGCACCTGCGGAAGGGTGCAGACGGGACAGGTGCCCAAAAACTGACCAACGAGGTATTCCATCCCATCCACATCATCCTCAGTACAAAGCTAAGGGATCACGAGGGTCGGTCTCTCTTCTTTCATGGCCGGCATCCCTGTGGGACCCTGCTCGCTCTTCTGCCTCCAACCCCGATCCGTGCATTCCTGAATCCGGTTCCTGTCAGCTGCGCAGTCCGGTCCGGGTGCCCGCCCTGCCGCGGCAGCACTGCGAGCCACTGGGGGCTGCAATTCCCTGACCATCGTCGGGAAGCTCAGTATCGGTTTTGCATACTTTTCCTTTTATTGCTATTATTAGTAGTATTAGGAGTAATATCATTATACTCTTTTTTATTATTACCGTTCTATTAAAGTAGTTTTAATTTCCAACCCATCAGTCTCTCGCCGGTCCCTTCCCCTCCCGCGGGAGGGAGCAGATAACAGCGAGCCTCTGCCGCCCGCCGGCCCAGCCTTACACGGTGGCAGCCTCAGAAATGTGAACCACAGACACCTAACCTCTGCAGGGCCCCACAATTTTGCCTCTCTGGGAAGCATGTCAGTCTCATCAGGGTTAAGCAGCTATGCACCCATCTGTCCCTAAATGCATCACAATCCTTAAAACTAAGCATTCTTCCTCCTTTAAGAAGTCTAGTCCAGTGAAGCATAGTAAGATGAGCAAGTACCTCCCCCCAAAACACATGGATTTTTTTTTTCTCCTTTTCTAAGCAAAATAGAGGTGCAGATTTCTTTTCTGTAGTGCAGCCTTCATTCAGAATGAGACAGGCTTCTCTTTCTTCCTCTTCAGTATAGTGAAACGGTCACAACAAAGGATCGCTAGAGTGCTTCCACCTCAAAACAGACTGATGTAAAGTACCCTAACAAATAAAAAACTTGGCTGGGCCACACATGAGATGAGAAGGCACAGGCATGAGAGAGAATGTAAGTCTTACAGTTAGGGAGCCATGACTGGGGGGTGTGGTGGATGGGACTAACCTCTTTGGATTCACACCCTGCATTACAGCTTATCTGAATTCTACACAACCATTCTAAAAATATAAAATATATGAGTATCTTTGGAACAAAAGATTGCAACTCCTTTCCCCTTCCCCCACACCCCAAAATAATGGCTAAGAGCAGAACTCAAGAAAGTTACGCTTATTCTTACCTATTATCTGATACAAGAAAGAGCAGAGACTACTCTGCTATGCCCCTCTGCTATACCATAGTCTTAGAAAGACCACCATCATCCCCTCCATCAGTATTACAAAGAACAGGAATGATCTGCTGGTTTCTGACAAAAAAGGTGTAGGCACCAAGAGAAAGTTTATGATTGAGTAACCTCATCTCAAAAGAGGGGCAAGGCCTGAAAACACTCCCTGGGTGCCTTTGCAGTGTTTTCTGTCAGCTACCTTTAGTGATTCATGTCAGGCAGTACAGTTGTCCCTCTGACACACCTCACTTTTTCCACAACTTTTTATGAAGTTCAGTAATTTAATCTTCAGGTGCCATAGCCCTCAGTTAGATGTCTCTTACAGAAACAGCCCAAGTCCACATTTAAAAATTTTGCTCAATTAACGGCTCTAGTCAAAGGTGTTTGTGCGTGTGTACATGCACGCATCAGCAGCACTATCAGATCCCTAACATACAAGTTACACTGGCAAAAAGGACATCAGCCACAAGCAGATGTGAAAATATAAGTCAGAATAGTGGTTTTTTTTTTTCACATGTATGCCTGAATTAGCAGTATCCCCAATACACAGTTAACACTGAAGATAAATGAACAGATGACAATTATATTTACTTCTCACAAACAGATCAACTGTAACTGTACAAGAAAAACAGCATTCCAACAACCCATCCCAAAAATTCAGAACATAGACATTTCTAGCTTTATATACCAGTACTTTTGTTCATTAACTGACAATCAAACAGTCAAAAATGTTTAAGACAGGATTTTCTACTATTTATCTCACCTTGTATTCATGAAGTATCCTGTTTGTCCAATGAGGAGCTTTACTTTTTAGTTTAGTGACTGGTACTATAGATTTAAGATTTTCTTCACTAAGAGAAAAACAAAGCAGAAAAAAAGTTTTTCTTCACTAAACCAAGTAAGGAGAAAGAACAATGACTGCCAATTTGTATCTTCATGTCATATATTGAGCTAAACAGTTAGCTCCTACTCTATCTTGCCTCATCAGGTAAGAACCTTTCCTGAAACATAAGCTAAGGCTTTCTAAGATACAATGTAATTCTCAGTTAATGGAGCTCCAGCTTTGTGTTACTTTGTATTATGCATCATGGACACAGCACAGAGAGGAAATGCTAGCAGAACATGTGACTCTTACTTCATTACAAATCAGTTTGGAAGCCAAAATTATATACAAACAGCCATTTACGCTAGAATATCACATGCTCAGAAAAGATGACAGCTTATAGATACTCTTTTCACTGCTGTATTCAGCACCACCAAGGACTTGGCCCAATTAATTTCTACATGAAAGTTATACAGTACCTGACATGAATGTGAATCTATTTATATAAAGTGCCTTTAAAAAAAAAACCAACAAACACAGCAAACAAAAAACACTGAAAGGAAGCCTTTACTAGTTTGCTTTTATGCACAATTAAGTTAGGTTGCATCACTAGGTTTTTGAGACTATTTAGTAACTTTTAAATTATACTTGTCAGTAACTGCAAGTATGATTTACCAAGCAAAAGCCCTGCACAGGACAATATATCCAGATCTCTGAGGTCAAGGATACTCTCATACAAACAACAGCCTGGATATAGTTTTGAAATGACCAGTCTTTTAAAAAACATTTGTCAACTACAAAAAAATGCAGAATATAAATCTTTTCATCTGTCTGAAGAAGAACGAGTTGAGATATTTTCCAACACCTTCATTTGCATATGGATGGAAAGCATGCCCACATGCCCATGAAGCTCTTCATCTGGCCCAAATTATCTTTCCAAGTAGTCCTGTCTATAGAGTCAAACACTTCCATTAAGCAGGATCAACTCAGAACCACATGGCTGATTTGCCTCAGTGTGGAAAGAACACCGCCCTGCAGCTGCTGCAATTCCGCAGGGGGTAGTTTTGTATTAAACCCAGCTGCGTTTAACTGCACACTCCTGCAGGTGGGCAGTCCCACTTAAAACAACTTCTCCTTATAGCAACTCTAACTGCAGGGCAAGATGGGTCAACAGCTGAAGGTACTGAGAAGCACCCACCCCTGACCATTTTCCAGTCAGTGAGCTCATTCACCTAGCTTACTCTGTAATGGTACAGTCTCTACAAGTAAAAGAAGGAAAATAAAGAAATCAACATGTGCAGCCAGCCCTTTCAGAGGCAGCCCACACTTGCATCACAGTAAATGTAGGAGAAAATGCACCCTGATTTACTGATGGTGCACAATACAACCAAAAAAATTAAGCCAAGACAGCTCAGACGATGCTGTCAGTGACAGGAGATAAGAAGTATAGTAGCATTCCAGAATAGCACAGCTGCTGCTACATGAATGAATTGAGGTGGAGATGGTAGGGGGTGGACTGAAGGTGCACACAGTACGTAACTGGAATCCTGATGTGTTCAGATACTGCTGTAGAAATGCATGTGGGAGGAAAAAGCTATATCCCAGAACAGCTCAGCTACTGTTGTGCTGGCAAGCAGGGAGAAGGGGAGAGAAAAGCACCATCTGGCAGAGCCCTACTGGTGCTATGTTTCTAACCAGTTTAGTATAGCAGTTCACACACAAATGAGAGAACAGAATTAATATCTCTGCACGGTCTGTCCTCTTCAAAGAGGGAGGAAAGCCAGTCCCAGAAGTTGGTCTAACTGGACACAGTAAGAGGTTTCTTCAAAGTCTCAGTCCTGTCAAAACCCTTCATTCACATAAACACTGTTACCCATTTTGGTATTATTGTATGTCAGTATAGACTTACAGAATACAGAACCTCCATCCCTCTGCCTGGGACTGCAATAATTAAGATTAATATATTTTTCAGACCCCATGTCCAGCTTCTATTAATGCTACAAGGGTTATGCGTTACTCTGAAGTAGAGCTCAGTGATGGAGAAAAATAATAAATACATCATACCTAAAATTTGAGAGTTCCATAGTAAGTGCTATCTAAAAATACTTAACCTAAACCCATAATTTTAAGTTTTAAACACACATACTTACTTTAGAAAGCCCTGTTTATGTTTCTTGCTTTCATAATTTCCATAGACTATTTGTAGAAGCAGACTTGCCAGTGTGATCAGCTTGGCATCAGGTGATGTATAGAAACCTTTCAGTAAATTATATCTGGCTTCATCAAAAAGGATAAGAATAGCCAACGGATCCTCAATCTGTTAAAAATATTTAAAATAATATGATTTCTTTGTAAAAGAAAATGAGCTTAGAAACTATAAATACAATTTCTCACCAATTCAGAGACAAAAGACAAAGGTGTGATCCTGACTGTACATTTTAGTAATGATTTGTAATAGAAAAAATGACATATTTTCATCGACTTAATTCAAAACTTCACTGATCTAACACACTTACAAATAAAAAGTGACACACTCAATCAAAGTGTTCACAGAAATAGTGACATCTGGGTTTTCTTCCCCCTCATGAATCCATTTTGAATAGTATGTTTGAATAATCCCATTGAAATTGACCCGTTAAATATCTGAAAAATCACAGCACAAGGAAGAGAAAGAAAATTGAGCACGTTGTTTTTTAGCTGTGTGACAGACAGATAGAGACTGAAGCACATAAACTTATGATAAACCAAACAGTTAGAAAGGTGAGAAATATATCAGAGAGAAGGACGAGGGAGAGGATGAGGGAGAGAGAAGAACCTGAAGACTCAAGCTATTACAGAAAAGGAGAGGAGGGGTCCAGTTTAAATAAGTTTGGAAATTACTACAGTCATTAAACACACTGAGTGTTGATGGTCAAAGTGTTCTGACCATGACCACAATTTTGCACTATCACTTCCAAGTGCAGACCTTTTTTTCTATTTCCAGTGGAAGTCTCACATCTCTTCTCAGGAAAAGCTGTGAAGTTTCCCTTTGAGGATCCAAGTTTGTCAGCTCAGTGAATATTTCAGGCCAATCTCGAATATGCTGCAAAGGCTTGTGGTATGGCTTCAGTTGGAGGCCTGAAAAATAACAGGTTTTGTTTATAAATAAACAAACATAATAACCCAGCACATACACACATATATGATTAAATGCTGCACCAAAACCAGAGTATCTGAAACTGAGGACCCATTAACAAACATTTTTCCCTATGTTTTCTAAACTGCTATATATAAAAGGCTTTGAAAATATGGATTTATTGACAAAATTCTCAGCATCAATTCATCAAATGCACTAGTGATGAACCTTTATTATTTTCAGCCTCTCAAGAGTGAAGTTGTATTTAAAAATTTAATGGAATATCAAGATGGGCCTTAAAAACACAATTAAACATTAGAGACTGTTGTCTCAATTATGATGAGAAAAATACAAAGTCCAATGAACTTATTTCTCACCGAAAAATACAGATATATCTTATCTTACAAATGTATTTGCCTTTTTTGGATATATATAAACCATGAACTTTTCAGAACAGACTTTTTTTCTTTAACCTGTAAAATATCTTGATTCTTAACAGGCTACAGTCATTCAATGTTTCATGTTCTCCTGTGTATATGAGAGCTGAGAAATCAATACAGAGCTTCTGACTACAGTCCTACTATGTACTAGATTCCATACCTTCAGTTACACTCATTCACTTACCCTGCCTGTCCTTGTGATTACTACTGCTCGGCTTTTTTCTAGTAGTGAGGAACTAGAAGGCTTTATCTGCCTCATCCCCTGTGCTCTGGCTTTTACACTGTGACATTTCACATTGTATGTAAAACTTCAAAGGACATGTTTAGTGCAACATCTTTTCACTGAGAGTAATCTGTTTACTCAACTTATCTGCCTTACATTCAAACACAGAAAACCATTATTTGTCCTACAAACAAGAAAACTATGGTCTTCACAGTTGTACACAAACGGCAAGAAATACATTTTGTAATGAAACCTGTCCATTAGTTTGAAGCTGTAAATCAGAAGCTGACTCATTTCCAAACTTAGGCTAAATATCTAGAGAATTGCTTGTTTTTAAACAAACTATGTAGCAGTGAGCTCTTCCTCTCAAATGCAAGGGTAATGCTTCAATGATTTGAGTAAAACATGACATACATATTTTAAAAAGCCACAAGCAGCAAGACTTCAACACTCAACCACTTCTTTCTCTTCTAGACTTTAACATCTAAATTTGACTGAAGGTTACAGTAGTCATGTGGCATACAGCAAAGTAAAAAGTCAAAAGGCAGGACACTGGGAGAAAGATTTAAAAAGAATGAAGAAAAGATTTCCTGCAATACTTATAAGATTAAAAAAAAAGTAACAAAAATAAAATTTTGAATGAAAGGCTTCTGTGTTAACGGTACTGTCAACACAGTGTCCTACCACACCTGAACCGTGCTTTGTAAATCCATTATGTATCCCACAGCTATCTTGTTGCAGCAGTACTGTTGACTGCGTTTTCTAACAAAATACAATCAGAATCATTGACTCTTTTGTGGTTCTATTTATATTTTGCTACATATCTCAGGCTACAATTATAATATACTTTTTATTTGGATCAGAAATACCAAAAAATACAGCAAATGTAATAATGACATTTTGCATCAGAATTACCTCCCACCAAATATATCTGAAAACTTGTTTATCAAAAATCATTTTAGTGCAAAACACATGAAAATTCATATGATTAAAGGACCTAATGAAAAAATATTAATCAGCTTTAATTACTAGTTTTAAATAGATTAAACATTGGTAAAAAGAACTGCATGCATCCAATTTCAGATACTCTGGGAAGAAAAATACCACTAAAATCAGGGTACGTTAGCAGTAAGGACTACGACAGCAAAGATGCCCTGTAACAAAGGCAATCTGCACCAGCCTTGTCTTCCTAGATGGAAACTGGGGAGGGACTTTTCACAAGGGCATGTAGTGATAGGACAAGGGGCAATGGTTTTAAGCTGGAAGAGGGAAGATTTAGATGAGATATTAGGAAGAAATTCTTCACTGTGAGGGTGGTGAGGCACTGGAACAGGTTGCCCAGAGAAGTTGTGGATGGCCCATCCCTGGAAGCGTTCAAGGCCAGGTTGGATGGGGCTTTAAGGAACCTGGTCTAGTGGAAGGTGTCCCTGCCCATGGCAGGGGGGGGTGCAACTCGATGGGCTTTAAGGTTCCTTCCAACCCAAACCATTCTACGATTCTATGATGAAATAAGTTCTAGCTGCCACAGTGATAGAGGGTCAGACCTACTGGGGGTACCCAAAGTGATGGCTAAAACGGAGAACCTCTCTATACCTCTGAAAGCACAGTTTGGAGACATCAGGCTGGAAAGGCTGGGAGTTGATCTACTGGAGGAAAGCTTAAGCAGAGGAAACAGAAAAACTGGTTTCACTCCCTGAGCAAAAGATAGAAGGAATGAGGCCTACAGGGATTACAGAGTCTCTGGCAGGGGCAAAGTGTATTAACAGACAGTCAAGACTCCTAAAGGATGGCTTTTAAAAGCTGACAGAAAGAGGGTAATACAGACCTGTCAGAGAGCATGTTTCCTGTTTTCCTAAGAAAGTATTTTTTTCTAAAGGCAAGCAGAAATACAAAAAAACTATGATAAACTGTCAAGTATAACAATCTTCCTTGTTACTTACTGAGGTTTTCAGAACAGATCCAGATAGTGAAGTACTGCTGAGTTTCTTGAGACAAACGCATCCCCTCCATTATCTGCTGTACAGTAGTATTGTTTCCATGTTTCAACTCAACAGAGCGATATGACCCATCCATACGGTAAATTCGTGCCTTTTCATACTACATAAAAAATTAAACATATTAAACAAAGAACTCGTGAAAATCCTTTTTGTTGGTGCTTCTGAAGAGGAAAGCAATTTTACCATAATTCAGCAACATCCATACTGTTGAGCAAAAGAACATTGCACAACTCTTGCATATTTACTCTTTATCAAAACTGCTCGTTTCATGTCCTATGCAAGTTCTTATACTGTGCTTTTACCATAATAGCTACAAGAAAGATCTTACTGGTATTTTAAGGACTTCACTTCCGTTGAACTCAAAGGCAAATAGGCATTTAAAAGTTCCCTGAGGGATTTGGGCTCAACTGCCTACCCATATCCCAAAAGGTCCACCTCACTATTACTGGCAGGTTATGAATTATTCCCCTCATTGGTCTATACTAAAAAGACTGATTTTTCAGAGGGAAGCACCGCCCTTTACACAGATCCCAGTACAATAAGAATACAATCTCACTAAGATCTTCTAGCGCTTCTATAATATTACTACTAATAAATAATTTTTCCCCTTCAGAACTCCCATAGCTTTCACTGAATTGCACATGGGCCCAGAGTGTGCCTCCTGAAAGATGTACTTAAATGTAAATCAGCTGCTTAAAGCATATACACTGAAGTCATAAATCAATGAAACTTCTTGTTTTCATCTCTCTAACAGGTTAAATGTTGCAGCTGCTTGAATAAAAAAGTTGCAGGAATTTTTAACTTCCCTTCTTCAAATCTACTTAGTCATCAAGAACTAAGTACCTAAAAACTTCTGGAAAAAAAGATTAATGCCTTGGAAAATGACAACTGACTGAAAATGAGGCTGGAACGGAAAACATCAGTCTATTTTTGCTGCAGTAGTCACTGTGACTCCTATTGCAGTAATTTCTATTTTTTTTTATTTTAATGTGTTAATTCAATAGTAACAAGTGACAACATAATATCACCTATTACACCATGAAATCTACTTAAAATGTTTGCATTAGTCTTTTAGAGTCATTAGACACACATCTGCCATTTGATCAACTGCATAATAAGATCCCTAAAATAAAGGAGGTCAATTCCTTCATTAATTATTTTGGAAGATTCATTCATATACAGTGAAATGAAGGTAATTTAAAACATCTTGAAAAACTGACAGGTTTACTGCCTCCTACCTACAGATACAAGTTGTATCTGAAGTCAAAGAAAAGAAACAAGTGGTTTTATATTGTTCGGCTAATTTTAAATCTACTTCAGGATGAGAGGAGTCACATTGTAAATTTTGTTTACTATGCTGGCTAGATCTCCACTGACTGCCAAGGAAGCCTACACTGACTAACTGATGTAAAGCCTATTTTGTGGAAGCCTACATTTAGCCAGCTGAATGCTCCTGTTTATCAACATATAAGATGACAATGCATAAAGCAAGCTAATGGTTGTATGATCAAAAGCGGACATAAAATCGGTAGCTGATGCGATGCTCCTACAAATAAATCAAAACATCACATTTAAAGTCTTACATGTATTTCTTGAGCAATAAATAAAGATTGAAACATTTAAAGAGACAAAATGTCAGTTTGTCAATATTTATGCTAACAATTTCAGTGTACTGCACATTTCCAATAACAGCTATAAATCAGCCTATAGCTCTTCTACAAGTTTATGTGTACATTAAACTTTAAACTGTTTAGAAAATAAACTCATACAGGTTTACTTATGGCTTCCTTCAGCAGTTTTGCAGTTTCTTCCCACTCATTTTGTTTGTTCTCTTCACAGACATTCAGTGGAGATCTTCCTTGTTGATCAGTAATGTGCTACAAACAGAAACAGAAACACTGATAATACATTGTTTTAACTGTTTTCACAAAATTTACACATTTTTTGAGATAATTAAAATCCTTGATCCTAGGGTTCAAACATTTAATTTTATATATAATGGGAAAAGTGAAGTAATGAAAAATTATCTAACTGTCTTTTGGCAATCTCTCAACAGGGTCATCGCGTTTACACATTGTGATCTGGACACAAAATATTTCAGGTACACAAACTAGAAACTGTTGCTAAAACTGATATTTCTATACACAAACAGAACTTACTCTGTCAATTTCTGGATGATTTAATAGAATTTGTACTATTTCAGCATGCCCACCTCCAGCAGCAAAATGAAGAGGAGAGCTAAGTTGGCCGTTCAAAAGATTGGGATTGCATTTCCCTTTCTCCAACAGCATTCGAGTGGCTTCAACTTTTCCATACCTGCAGACAGGTTTAAAGTGGAACAGACACAGCAAATGTAAAATAAAATCTTTTTTCGGATAGTCCTAAATAGGGAAAAGTGTATTTCAATGCTCAAGAGCTTTTAGCTCTGAAATGACACCAAAGACAGTAGAACATTAGTAAGTTTGTAGAAATTAGTATCAGTTCTGCACTTCTTTGATAACCATTGGTCTAGTAAACATTTATTGGATTCATTACAGACACATGGAACCTTGCTTTAAAGTCGCTAAGTTTGGGTAGTTGCAGCAATTCAGTCATGGCAAAACAGAGCTCAGCCTTGCCTGAAAAAAAATAATCTGTGTGAGAATCAGACTAAAGCTTCTGATTGTCATGCAGATGGATCCTCAGGACTCTTAAACCTCACGCTGATAACTAGCAAATCTTAAGTATACCATACTGTTTATGCAAACTTTCTGACAAACACTAAAAATCAAATAAGGTTGGGGTTTTTTTAAACCAAGTTTGATTTTCATGTTATTCATATCATCAGACACTACTATAAATACAGAAGACTAACTTGCATAAAGACAAAATAAAAGCATTTTTACAACAACTGAGGAAAGCTCTTGAGCATCTACAGATTAAATCATCACAGAATTATAGTCAGACAAGTTGACCGCTGTAGATCACCTAGTCCAGCTTCCTACTCAAAGCTTCATCATCACCAACATGTGCTCAACTCAACTATTGCTGTGCTGTAAAACTACTCACAGCCTTTAACCAACAAAGACTGCAAAAAGTTACCACACTAAACTACAGCCAGTGTCTCCAACAGGAATTAAAACATATCCTTCAGGATAGATATAAGAGGCCATAGGTAAGTGTTTGATGGTATGATCTTCGCACCTAGTCTCCTCTGAAACTATTCAGATTGCTTCAAGTTTTGAGATAATGTCAATCTTTCTCTTCAGCAGGTTAACACTAATATATATTAGAGTCAAAATGTAAGAAGGCTAGGATTTTTTTGATTTCTCATTTTTGATTCTGTATGATAAATTACATAAATGATTAGCGCTAAAGAATCATGATAACAAGAATGCATTTGATTGGCAAAATTATATTAATTTGACTCACCAGCATGCATAATGGATGGGTGCCCAGTGGTCACTATCTAACTGATTAACAGAAAACTTTTTATCCAGAAGGTGGCTTAGTAAATCAGAGTCGCCTTCACAAGCACTGCGGTGAAGAGGAAAATCATCTACCCACTGGTGTTCCCTATGAGTTAAAAGCGGAAACAGGAGGAAAACACAGTTCAGAAATATTTCAATAGTTGAGAACATTGACTTTTTAAAAATTACTAACTTAGCACTAACTGTAGATCTACATGAAGAATAAAAATGAAGCTCATGCAGCTAAAATGTGCCAGTATTCATACAACTAGTATTTTAGTCAGGCAGTAGTCAAGCCACAGCTGTATTTATGATGCTAAGAAATGCTTCCCTAATGTTTATAATGTAAACCTTTCTTGATTCGTCCTTTAATTGTCCTATTTCAGTACTTAGAGACTTCAAATAGAATTTTTAAATAATATGTATTTATACAGTAAAGCCCTAAAGTAATAGGTATCTCATTCTGACCAAGTCTACCAAGTACTACTGTAACATAACAAAACAAAACTATCCGCTAATGAAAAAGGAATGTAACATAATACTTGTCCTCTGTGACACTGCTCATGCTACGTTGCCACTTTTCTCTTTTAGGAATCTGAATCTTTGAATAGTCTGGGGCTCCAAGGCCAAAGTATGGATTTATTACCACTTTGTCAACCTGTGAAGACATAATTTAAACATGACTGAAAAAATATCTTACAGAGATTTGGCTAAACAATACCCTAACGAGGTCAGATATTCTCTTGAAACCAAAGTTATGATAGTAACATTTTATAATTAAAGAGAATGATGTTCAAATGGGAGGATTTGAAAAACCATTTAGCAGTAAGTGTGCAATAAAGAAATCTGATTATATAAAGCACACACTCATATCGAATAAAAGAATGAACTGTAAAATGAAAGCATATGTATGTTTCACAAATAAAAAATGAAAATATAGTTCTTACCCTATTGGTATACTGAAGGTCAGATCCAAACAAAGGATTATAGATACACATATCTGCTTTCTCCAATGCCAGCATTTTACTCTTTATTTCCAGGGCAGTATAACCCATGTGTAATGAGCTCTCTGTTTGACCAGGTTCTATAGCATAGGCAGGGTTTATTACATTTGTTTTAATTCTCTCAAGAGGAGATGGTCTGAATAAAGCTGGGATGGAGTGAGACTGGGTGTGCCGTTCATCCAACCACCTGCAGGAGAGGATGGGCAAGTAATTAATTTTCAGGTAGAAAAGGACTATCTTGGTCATGCCTGTCCATTATTTTGTTTGATTAAGGGTTACATGTATGACAATCACACATTTTAATTACAGACAAAAAATTAATTATAATGTGCACAGCCAATTTTATAGCACTAAGTTAATCCCCAAACATGGAATTTTTTAACCAAATACAGCTAAGCACATGTATTTGCTCAAATGCATTTCCTGCAGATGCAAACTCTCAAAGAAAAGGAAATTATAAGCAAAGGTAAGAGTAACATTAGTTATAGCCAAAACACTTAACCACACCAACACGTCACCGTTTAATTAACTTTCAGTTTATCACTATTACTACTCTGAACATACAAATTTTGAAACTTAAAGCAGTTTGTTTAAGTATGAGTTGGAGTTTCAATATCTGTGCTGACTTAAGCCTTCTAACTCCTATGTTTCATTAGGGAGAGGTGGGAAAAGGCAAAATATCAGAAGGTCCTTTGACAGTTTCCAAACTGCTAAGTCTCTTCCACATAGGCTACCACCTGCCTTTTCACAAAGCTGTCCTGAAGGTTATTCTCTAAGTGCACTCCTGCTGACAGTAAAGAAGGGCTTTAGGCCCCTATTACTCTGAGCTAGAGAGGAAAGCCAACACTGCACACCAGCTGCATTTTTTCCTGCCACACATGCAATATAACACAGGGCCCAGGGTTTTTGGATAAACATATTTTCACTGAATTGCTAAATTGTTTTAGTGTTATGTTGAATGGGGCACATTTTAATTAAGTGCCTAAAGCCAAGTTTGTACTTAGTTTTCTGCACATACTTGCTCACAAGCTTGAGATAAACATGTACTCTGCTGAAATACAATAAATTCTGTTCAGTGATTTAGCCCGGAAATGCAGAAGAAAGAGCAATACATGCTTTGGAAAGAGAGATCCACTGACAGACCACTTGGAGGATCTTGTCTGTCCCAGAACCGTGTCTAAGGATGGCAGAACAAGGCCTACAATTCAATGCATATTCTTACACCTGGATTTTTAAGTCTCAGATCCAAGATATCATGTGCTGCAAAAGCCCTATTCCCTTCACTTATTCATGGTCCTGCTGGGAAGCAGGACTGTAAAATTGGGGTCATTGTGCTAGAAACACCCTCTTACCGCTCTGAGGTATTGTCAGGCATTTTCTCTAAACAGTTGGCAGATAATTTAGTTATGGTAGTTTGAACCTTTGAGAAGTGATGTTTCAGATTACGTACATAGAAAATAATCAAGATAAACTATTTTCTACTACACTTCCAAGGCCCCTCTCACAACTATAAGGCTCGTAAACACATTTTAAGCAGAGCGTAGAGTCTGAAGGCATTCATTAAGCAGCAAATAAATATAACTAGCATGATAGTATACATGGAAATATTATGATGCTACTAATAAACTGTAAAAACCCTACACATAGAACCTTTTTAGGTAATAGCCTGTAACTTGCAATTTTTCACGTTAGCCAAGAGTTTCACCTAATTTTATTAATGCAAGTAAGTTCATATATAAGTATGCCTGGTATTTCTTTGTTAAGGGTACACAAAAAAGACCAAAACCTGCTCACATATTCAATTTTCAAACTACTATAAATCTGGCTAAACAACTAATTACCTTTCTGAACGTTAATTCCCTACTGCAAATAAACTTGTATGGCTGGGGAAGATGCACTCCCTTTCTAAAGGGAGGTTTAATTTAAATGCAAATCTTAATGGTGTACAATTAACAGGATATTTTTACTACACTAGCAAATACTCTTAAAGCTGACAGTTATGTCACTCATAGAAGATTAATCATTAGTATTTTACATGATTTCACAAAACATTCGCTGTGAGGAAGAACTTCCAAAAAGCCACTTGATTTAGATAAGCACACCATTCCTCAGTTTGCAAAAAGATTTTTAAAGAGATTTAGAAATCTGTTGTCAAGGTTTCAGTTTCTGATAAACACGAAGAAAATAACATATTAGAGTGATTTCCTTCTTAATCACAAGAATGCTATAAAACTATAAGTAACATCTACAAATTATCTTTTTTAACTTCTATTTTAATGTATTTGTACTGATGACATTTCTTACTTATCCAAGGCAATTAACATTCTTGCAGTAAGCGTAGCAAAATGGGTGCTGGATTCACTGCAGACTCTCATGATGTCTTGTAAACAGTAGAACACAGGACATCCAGGACTGTATGCATATTTCGTATTATCTAAAAAGGAAACATACTCTGAAGACACATCAATGAGAAGAAGAATCTTATATTCCCTTTTGCATCTTTTGTCATTACAATTTCTACCTAATTGAGAGTATATTCTAACTTTAGACTAGAGTAACTTAATTTTTTCCAAATGGCAACTGATAGAAATTACATACAATCCATAGGTAACAATTCACAACTCAACAGGGTAGCCTTAAAAAACCTTAAAGTGTTAGTTACTATTCCATCAGTGTGATCAGCTTCATCTGAGGAATTAATATTAAATGTATATGTACTGTTGCCAGAAAAAAAGAATAGGACTCAGGACTAGAAGAGATATTTATTGCTATCAGTAACTCCATGATGATATTATTTGATAGTTTTTATCCTTAAGGCTTATCACAAAGCCAAAAATGAAGGAGTTTCCCCAAAAGCACATAGATGTTTACTTCAGGCTTTTTTAAAAAATATTTTCCTGAGAAGCAATTTACTTTGCCTTCTAGGGACTTTATTCACCATTCCTTGTTCAAACAAAACTGTTTACAGACATCAATAAGCATTCTTCCCTGACTAAACAACGCTGACCTGAATAGGATGCCTTATTTACACTTGCATTCAGTAAATTCTATACAAGTTAATGCATATGTTTTGAAATATAATCAAGTGAACAAATACAGCTTAAAATAGAAATGTGCAATTGTTACAGAAACAAAGGCAACAGATTAAAAACAAGGTTTTCTTCCTTAAGTAACTTTTTCAAGTTTTAAAGTATTCAGGGAGAGGCTTCCATCCAAATGTACCTTTTAATGTTTAAATACAGAAAAAGCCATATAGCACATTCATAAAAATTCTTAATAAACCCTCAACTGAACTTCTGCTAAAATGGGTGCAATTTCAGAAATTCTGCTCAACCTTACCTTTCACAACAGTTGGAACAACGTAAAGTGATGCCTCCTGGCCTGCCTTCTCTCCATCAAGAGGAAACTTCTTCATTAACACTACACGCTTTCCTAGCAGAGTATTAAAAAAACCCAAAATAATTAATTAACCAACAAAACAAAAAAACCTAATCTAAAGTTGGCTATCTGAAAGTTTACCAGACCCAATCTTCCTGATTTCTAGGAAGAAAAAATTATTATTATGAGCTATAATCTAAAGCAAGCGAAGAAAATCTAAATACATATGAAAAAATAAAGAACATAAATGTGTATATAGCCATTAACACGAAAAATGGCATGAGTGTACCCCTTTTTTCATAGCAACTTTTCTATACCCCTGATTTTTCATAGCATTCAGCCCCAAACCACTTATCTTTAAGTTAAACAAAATTATTTTTGAAATGGGAAAGCATGACTGCATGCTATATTCCATGTTAGGGTGAATGTCTTATTCATGTAGTGGCAGGACAGTATTTTCCATGTTATCCTCCCTTCCACCCTTATAGAATCGAGCATTTTGTTTGTTTTTCTGACCTCAGCTGCATATTTTAGCAGTGGCTACATTAAGTTTTGCATATTAATACTTGCACCCTCTGTCTGAGTCAATTTAAAACTCTCTAAACTGTATAAGAAACAGACAGGTTTTGCTTTTACTAGGCATTCCTCAACGTGTATTAATGCTATTATGTTATTTCATGTTTGCTGCTTAACTAGCTTTGTGAAGTCCATCCAACTCCAGTTATTGCCACCCACAAGATTTTACCATGCAACCAGCTATTCCTTTTCTAAATTGTTAGCACTATATTGCCCTGTCCACACTGACAACCTTCCCAATGCAACCTTACTTACAAAGCAGAGATGAGGTGCACAGCAAAAAAAAGTGCTTTAGTCAGTATAGTTTATACCAATCTGGAAATGAAATATGCTGGCTAAAACAATTTTTGTCAGCATAAATGTGAGGTTGTTTGCTAGACCAGCTATGCAACAATAATGAAGAAGAAAATGTACTAATCAAATTATATCTGTAAGTGATACAGTTATGCCAGAAATATTTTAATGTATAATACTGTCTACTGAACAATGCTGGCTTCAGAACAGGCTTTAGAACAGACTTTAGAAGCAATCAATTCACTAGCTCAAGTAAAATTTTATCTGAAATTAAAGATAAAAAAGCCACTTCAATCTGGTTTACCAGAAGTTTAGCTATAAATCTCAATTTGAGGTGAAGAAGTAGTACACACAGGCAAAGTTTCACTTAAAAATCTTTCAGTAAGCATTTTATGGAGTTGGAAGGTAAAGGAGAAAGAAGGTTTTAGCTGTATAGTTGGCTTGGGTTTTTTTGATGGACCTCAAAACATACCTTCTTTTTTTAAACTCATTTCACGCTTTTGCACAACCTTTCCATGCCCATTTAATTGTAAAAATATTTTTATAGTGCTATCAACAATAAATCAGATTTAAAAGTTTTTACCTTTAATACCCTGATTGGCTGGTGAAATTGGTTTGGTGGCTTCTAATACATAATCCAAGATACTCTGGGTTATCTCAGTGCCTCCCTGCAGTTTAGTTTCCAACAAAACTTTCTTCCTTTTTTTCTTTTGGCCTTCAATAGGAACTTCAAGCAACAAAATCTTTCAAATAATAATGAAACCAAAGGAGTTTAAGCACAACTGAAACAAGCCAGATGGCGAAGTCAGGATGATCTCCATAACAGAAAGGTTAAAGAGAAAAAGACAAAGCTGCACCCTTGTATTGAGCAGCCTGCAGGGCAAAAGGCCCTGAAATGACATGAAACACAAAGATACTACAAAACCATAAAGTATTCAAATACCGTAAGGATGGGGCAACGCATAGTAGATACATGACATACACAGACATTATTTAAGCGATCTTATCATCAGATTTTCTCTTCTGCTATATTATTCACAATAACTTACTATTTTTAAAAACTGTAATAAATAAAAAAATTAAATAGTTTTACTTCATAGGATTTAGCTCGATATTCCCGAGAATTCAGGCTAGCAGTATTTTTTGGACGAATCACAGCAACATATGCATCTCCAATGTTTTCTGGGTTTCCCATCTCTCCTTATTTTATCACTGGAAACAATGAATAAACAGGAAGTAAGGTTCAGTTGAAAAAAAGAGAAAAATAATAACAGCACGCTAAATTTCACGATGCAGTAATTATATTCACTGATTTTTTGCATTATTCATTTATTGTTCTTTAGCTGGAGAAATACCAATGGCTGATATATTCTGCTTCCTTTTCATGAAAGGGGAAAATCCTACATCACATAGTTTTAATACAAATAATCTTGCTCTCTAACCCACTTTTAAAATAAAAATAATGTACATTTTTTTCCATTTTGTAACTATCTTCCCCATTCTGCAAGCCAGGTAAAAGGCAAAAGAATTTCAGGTCTCTGAAAAATATATTAAATTGGAAAAAAAAAAACATTCTAAAGTGACAAGCACTGTAATTTATAAAATGTGCTATGACAAAGTACTGCATTCTATGAGTTCCACAGGGATTTCAAGAAAATACCTGATTTCTGCCCCCGCAGAAGTAGAACACAGTCTTGCCTACAGCCCAAGTAACAAAGCTGATAAAAATAAACTGTTAATATGGATTAATTTACTTAGTTTTACTTCAGTGGGGCTGCAAACTGGTGCACAATTCATTCAAACACAGCACTTCTGAAAGGAATACATCTTCAGTTTTTATAAAAATTGGACAGATTTAAGATAAAACTTTGTTTACCCTTTAACCCAAAGTGACAATTCCTACAATCATAAAATTTTATGCAAATGATAGAGAAAATCTCCTAAGGCTAAATCATTTCACATATCAGGTTTGAGAAAGAAGATCATGTCTGGCCATTGGCACCATCCAGCTGATCATTTTCTTCACCTGCAAATGAGCCTCCTTTCATTCCATATTATCAGTAAGCACATAGTTTTTGCAGATTAATCCCTCCACAAAGATTTTTAACATCACTGTTTCTAGCTTCTTCACCTTTACTAGGAGAAACAGAGGTCTTCAGATTCCCATGCCCTTGGTCCAGTATTTTTGCTGGGATCAGACTACCTGAAAACGTATTAAAAAAACCCAATATAAATAACAGCACGCACATTTTCACCTTCAGTTGAGATGATTTAATGGTGGTACTTGGACGGTAATATCCAAATAGAAACATTTACTGATTTGCATTGCAGGAGCATCTAGAAACATTAAATAAGCAATATGCTGACTTGCGAGAGTTGGGGAGACTTGGGATATTAAGAGTTTTGAAAGGAACAAGAAACAGCCATCCCCTATGGGCAGCTGGAAAAGGTATGCTCCCCAGGTTTCCTTACATATACCAGGACATACTGGGTTTGGCTCACAGACTTGTGTAGAGGGAACCTGCACAGGCAGGGCTGGGCCAACTGGTTCCCAGGTGACGGTCAGGTGAATAAGCAGTGGGTGAACTCCTCCTGCCAGCGCCCTGCACTAAATCCAGAGTGGGGTGAGGATGTCTGGGAAACAGACAGCCCTGAGAGCTACGATATGACTCCAGAAAACAAAAAACAGAGGATGAAGGAGGGTGGGGCTGTGACGATCTGACAATAACGATGACCAGCTTCAGAAGGCACCACCAGTGAACTGGTCCTGACCAAATTCAGGCGGCGAATTCCCCGTCCCAACGGATGCAGGTTCCAGAGAACGTGCCTCAGCCGGGCTTCTCCCAGTGCATTCCAACGCCACCCTCAGCAGCCCGGGGCTGCTCTCCTCCCCGCAGCCCGGGACCTGCCGGGACGAGGCGGAGGGCGGCTCC